GGGGCTGACAATGGGGCTGACTGAGAAGCCATTGATAAAGGCACTGGGACTTCTTTTTATGGCATGTTCTGTCTTTTTAGTACCCTAGTCTATATGGATGCACAGCTCCCTAGGCCTGGATGTAGGGGGGAGGGCCTTGGACTTCCCACAGGGCATGGTTCCCTGCCCTCTCTCAAGCAGGGAGGAGGGGGTGTATGGGAGCAGTAGGGGATTGGGAAGAGGGAAGGAGTGTAAATAATTGAATGGAAACATTTTTTTAAATTTTTTTTTAAAAAGAAAAGTTAAAAAAAAAAACAAGTTAAAGATCCATACATGAAATCATTGGGATGTTAAATAATGAAGTTGTAGAAGACAGAGGATGGAAAAATCTTTAACATTTACTAATAGAGAATTCCTGCAGGCTGTGATAACAGTGTGACACAAGAATTCAATCCACATCATTGTCCCAGGGACACTGCTCAGAGAGTTGGAAAACAATGGTGAAAATCATCACATTACCATCCATGGAAGTGAGTGTTGCAGTGCTCAGCTGCACAATAACTTAAGCATCTCTTGGTTTGAATTACATTGAAAGTGTGAAGCCTGGTGTGCCTCCCTGTTTCAATCACTAGAAGAAAAGGAGATAATGAGTTTAATATTTGCTCATTTTGATGTTCTGCTCAATCAATGGGAGTAAGGCCCTGTGTGCAGTTGTAGTGAGGCTGGGGAAGGAATGTTTGAAGCAAAGCTAAGAACTTTGTGGAGATGAAAAATGGGGAGATCACAGTCACACAGTTCTCCCAAGAACACAGAGTTAGTGACCTCAAACCTTCCTAGCAGATCTGTAATTATACATGTTTCACCACCAAAAATACAACATCCTGGAGACTAAGGCTTTATCACATGGACCTTCTGGGTACAGTCAAGCTACAGTGTACTTCTGTCCTTGATTGGAGAATACTGAGCCTCACTCAGTGCTTCAAATTGAATGATACTCCTCAAGGATATCAGGATCTGAGACTTTTCATACCGCCAAATACCTGGAAACAGAAATGTCTGACTTTTCTTCACATTGTCAGTACCTTTAGTTCAGGTGCCATAGAGAAGGTAAATGTTGATTATGAAAAATCCTCACTTCCTAGCTAAGTTGAGGTTTTTCTTAAAAGCCAAGTCTGAGGTGGAATTGACAGTATGCCAAGTATCCACAGGGACACAAATGTAGCATCATTATCTGCTTTGTGTTTCATAGTAGGAACATTGTCAAGGTATTTGTGACTCTGCTCACAGGACAAGCTAGGATGCTATGCTGGATGCTGATCAACAGGAACTGTGGAGTCTGAGGATGTGTTACTGGTTACAGGGTAAAATATGCCTCCACTTGTGAAGGCTTTGTGTGGATTCAGCATTGGATTTGGAGTGCAAAGAGAGAGACCTGGGTTATCTTCAGTGATGCCTGTTTATTGTAAGTTTAGGTTTCTACTGTCCTTTTCATCACATTGTCATATCCCATTGCCTCTTCTACTCCTTATGAAATTTAGTTGAAAGCCTCTTAGTAGAGTCAACATTTCTTTCTCATCTGAGCCATGACATATTTTTTTCTCAAACTTATTAAATCTAATTTTCTCTTGTAGAGAAGTATCATAGTATAAATATGTTGTTGTTATGAGATACAAAAAATAGTTTAGGCTAGAGTCATGGATAAGAGCCCTTCCTGGTCTTGCAGACGACATAGTTTCAATTCCCAGTATTCATATGGTAGTTCACAGTTTTCTGCCACAGTATTTTAGGGGACCCATACACTTTTCTGGAATCCGAGGACAACAGTTACAGATGTGGTACACAGGCACACATGCAGGTAAAACACATATATACATAGAATAAATACAAAGACATTTTCTTAAAAAGCTTCATTCATTTCCAAAATGAATTCCTTATCTCCTTTTGTTGTGTTATTTCTCTAGTCAGAACTTTAAAAACTATGTTGAATAAATATGGAAAGAGTGGATGATGTGAGAAGGTCATTTGTCAATCTGTTATTTCATTTGTTAATCAATAAAGAAAACTACTTGGCCTAATAGGTCAGAAAATTAGGTAGGTAGAGTAGACAGAACAGAATGCTGGAAAGAAGGGAGATGAGCCAGATGCCACGCCTCTCCTCTCCAGGGCAGACACGATGAAGCTTCAGCCCAAGATGGACATATGCTAGAATCTTCCTGGTAAGCCACCACCTTGTGGTGCTACACTGATTATTAGATATGGGTTAGTCAAGATGTGAGAGTTAGCCAAGAACTGGCTAGCTATAATGGGCTAAGCAGTGTTTAAAAGAATACAATTTGTGTGTTGTTATTTTGGGGCAAAAGCTAACCATGTGTGAGCCAGTCAAGATGAAAAACAGGCCTGCTTGCAGCTCCCTTCAACAAGTGGACAGACTTGTCTTGGTCCTGATTTTAGTCGGATTACTATGGGTTTCTCTCCATTTAATTTGATGTTGGCTGTTGGCTTACTGTATATTGCTTTTATTATGCTTAGGAATGTTTCTTGTATTCTTTAACTCTCCAAGACCTTTATCACAAATGGGTGTTGAATTTTGTCAAATGTTTTCATCAGCTAATAAAATGATCATATGTTTTTTCTTTCAGTTTATATATTTGGTAGATGACATTGATAGATTTTTCATATATTGAACAATCCTTGCATTTTTTGGGATGAAGTCAAATTTTCATTATTTGTAGAATATATGATAGTATACATAGGTGATCCCTAATATTCTACTAGGGAACTTATACAGCTAATACCATCAGTAATGTGACATGATACAAGATCACCTGAAAAAAAAAACAGCAGTCTTTCTGTATACAAATGGTAAAGAAGCAGAGAAAGAAATCAGAGTACTAATTACTGGTAAAAAAGCAATGACTTCTTGAAATTTGCATGCAATTTGATGGAACTAGAAAAAATCCTGAGTGAGGTAAACCAGACCAAGAAAGAAGAACATGGTATGTACTCACTCATAAGTGGATACCAACTGTAAAGCAAAGGATATCATGTCTATTGTTCATGATCCTAGAGAAGCTAAGTAACAAGGTAAACCCTAAGAAAAACATGCATAGATTCACCTGGAAAAGGGAAACAGATAAGATAACCTGACAAAACTGGGAGCATGAGGGTGGACTAGTATGGAATATGTAGAAGACAAGGGTAGAAGGGGAGACAAGAGAACTTGAGAAAATGGGATAGGCAAGATGGAGAAAGGAAAGAGATGAGAAGAAAAAATATATTTTGATTGAGGGAGCCATTACAGGAATAACAAAAAACCTGGTATTAGAGAAATTCTTAGGAATTCACAAGGATGACCCATCTAAGACCCTAAGCAATAGAGGAAGGGTGCCTGAACTGGCCTTGCCCTGTAGTCAGACTGATGAATATCTTAATTATCACCATAGAACCTTCATCCAGCAACTGATGGAAACAGGCAGAGATCTGCATCAGAGAACTGGACTGAACTCCGAAAGTCCAGTTGAAGAGCTGGAGGAGTGGGAATATGAGCAAAGAGTCAAGACCGAGATGGAGATACCCACAGATTTTGTACATGAAAATTAGATGTATAAAATGATATCATTACTGAAAATAAATGGGAAATATATGTTAATTAAACATATATTTAAGTTTCAATAATATTCTTCTTTTAATGTTAAAATAAAATGTCCAATATCTACTTTGATTTAGAAATCAAATGCCTGAACTGTCTTGTAGTTGATTAATAACATACTTTATTAATAACATTCATTGTGAAGGTTGTCTCCACGCACAGATTAGAGTGGCCTAGAACTTGGACCCCAGGCTACCCTCAAATATATAATCCTCCTGTTCATATTTCTCCAGGCCTGAGATTAAAGATATGATTCCCAACTTCTTTATGCGATGTTTATTTTTCTGTTTCTTGTACTTCACACATAGTACTGGGTTTATAATTTACTTCTTATATGTTCTTTCAGAGTATACCAACCTGAATTACAGGTATATTCTATAATTTCTGTTATTGCTTCTGATTTTTATTCATACTCAAACAACTTTTTCTCTGTGTAGCATCAGTCTCTGATACTGTGATCTATTGATCTCTGTAAAACTATTGTTTGATTTAGAATGAATGTGTTCCCACCTGGGGAGGTCTTTTTAGTGTTCACTATGTCAGCAGGACAATTTCATACATTTTCAATACTGCAATTTGTAAATTATCTTAGAATATGCATTATGGAATAAACACTCTTAGTAAGAATTGGTCTACAGCAATGACTTTTTGAAAAAAAAAGTCAAGTTTATTTTCTTCCTCTTCTATTTTCCACAATTTATGATCTTGTTTCAGTTCTCTTAGTTGTGCAGTTGATACTTGTTTGTTTCTGCAGGTTGTACCACTGCATTGAGGTTTAATATTCTCTCATCTCAAACTTAATGTTCTCCGGGATTTACAAAGAGTGAATTTTGGGCTGCCTTTTTTTAATCTAGAAACTGGACCACAATATCGGTCTCACTGTTCATTATACTTTATTCAGTGTGATTTTAAAGATAGGAGAAAATGAAAAAAAAATAAGTTCAATTCTCTTGCTTTTTTCCTTCATCCACCATTTTCGTTTTCATTGCATGTTTTCTTAAAAATTTAAGTTTATTTCTTTGTGATTTTTAACACATTTTTATTATTTCCACAGGATTGTTAATCTTAGCTTTTGTAACATTTCTGCAAAACAAACTAATTTAAAAATGTTATGGATTTTAAACAAAGTTTTTATTAGAGTGCATAATAGATTTCTCTTTGAGTGCTATAAGATCATACCTTTCAGTGTTTGCTCACAATCCCTAAAATGTTTATTTTTTGCCTGTTGATTGACACCAGATACTCACACACCCCGCCCATTCATTTCCTTATGTATTTGCTGACTGCTTTGCATGGGCCACTCAAGCTCAAACCAACCACATAGAATTTATAAACCAAGCCTTTTCCTTCAAAACTAAGCTACATCTGAAAGGCTCGGGGAGAAAGATGGTGTCACAAACCCAGGTCTTCATGTCCCTGTTGCTTTGTGTGTCTGGTGAGAAATTCAAAAGTATTCTAATTTTTTTAGAGTTACTTCTTTGTATATAAGAAATTTATAATGTGTGCTATGACAGAATATGTCTTACACAATAATAACCTGACATTATGGTATTACAAAGTTATTAAATGACAAATTTTCACTGCTACTGTGTTCTGTTTTTTCATATTATGCATCATCATTGTCTATTGCTGATTACAGGTGCCAGCGCAGATATCATGATGACCCAGTCTCCATCTTCCATGGCTGTGTCAGCAGGAGAGAAGGTCACCATCAGCTGCAAGTCCAGTCAGAGTCTTTTAGCTGGTAGCTTTAACCGCTTGGCATGGTACCAGCAGAAACCAGGACAGGCTCCTAAACTACTGATCTACTCGACATCCACTAGAAACACTGGGGTTCCTGATCGATTCACAGGCAGCGGATCTGGGACAGATTTCACTCTCACCATCAGCAGTGTCCAGGCTGAAGATCTGGCAGATTACTACTGTCAGCAGCACCACAGCTTTCCTCCCACAGTGCTTCAGCCTCCAACAAAAACCTCTCTAAGTTTCTCTCTAGCTAGCTGCACCACACAGCCCTGGACCTGCACACTTCCCCCTGCTGCCTGAAGCTGGTGAGTTCAAAGAGCTGTGAAAACGTTTGAAGAGCCCAGGAAAAATAATGGAGTCAATGTCTCGCATCTTTAGGTCTGAAAAAAAAAACCTCTAAATTAAAATGTAAAAAGGAACTCAGTATTATCTTTCTATTCCTTCTTTAACAAAATAATACAAGCTGAGCTGCTTGATTATGAGGGATTTATTTTTATAGTTCTGAACTTTGAGTGTCCAGCATCAAACTCTATGGGCAGAAGTAATGATCATGGCAGCACTTTGGAAGCTCTAGGAAATATGTTTACTGCTCTTTTTTTCTGGATTCTATGCTACTTTCTTGTTTCCGTACTGGTGTCCATTTCTTCAGTTACTTTTTCTTTCTCTTTCCATAAACTCTCTTACTTTTATTACATTTTAGTTAATTAAGTATTCTTTTCTGTGTTCTTTGGAATGTGCATTTGTTTGTCTGTGTATATGTGTGGGCATATTTCTGTCTATACATTTGTCGTGGCATAGTTGTCGGCATCAGAACACTTGTACAGGATTGTTTCTTTGTCATTTGGTTCTGGGATCAAAGTCAGGTATGACATCAGGCTTGGCTGCAAGTGTGTTTTCTATCTGATGGATCTTTCTTCCCCTTAAAATCTTTAATTGAAATAAATTTATTGCTCTCAATTTTCTTTTAATTAAATCTATAAAACAATCTTTTCTCATTTTTCAAATTTATCCCAGTTCTCACTCTCTCATTCCTCCATTGCCCTGACAACCCCTGTGCCTCAATCCCCATTCACTCCTAAGAGAAGATAAGGCTTCCCACTGGGAGCCAACATAGTCTGACACATCACTTTGTGACAGGACTAAGGCCTTCCCCCTATATTTATGCTAAAAAGGGTGTCCAACTGTGGATCTCTGCATCCACTTCCATCAGTTGCTGGATGAAGGTTCTGTGGTGACAATAGACATTAATCTGACTGCAGGAGCAGATCGGTTTAGGCAACCTCTCCACACTTGCTTAAAGTCTTAGCTGGGGTTAATCTTGTAGATTCCTAAGAATTTTCCTGCTGCCAGGTTCCATGCTAGACCCACAATGGCTCCCACAGTAAAGTTATCGCTTTCCTTGTTCTCCCTCTGTGCCCATCCCCCAACTTGACCAACCCATTCCCTCATGTTCTCCTCCTACCTTCCCTTCTCCCCTCCCTGTTTTCCTTCTCTTCACCCCTGTTCCATGATCTCAATTTTTGCAGGAGCTCTTGTTTATTTTGGTTTCCCAGGCAGACTCGTGTATATCTCTCTGGGGTACTCCTTGCTACTTAACTTCTCAGTGGTCCTGGGATATAGGCAGGTTATCCTTTGCATTACATCTAATATCATACACACCATGTTTTTTTTTCTCTCTGGTTCTGGGTTTCCTCATTCAGGATTGCTTTTTCTAGTTCTATCCAGTTGCATGTAAATTTCAAGATATTAATTTTTTTAACCACTGAGTACTACTCCATTGTGTTAATGTATCACATTGTCTTTATAGATTCTTTGGTTGAGGAATACTTAGGTTGTTTTCAGGCACTGACTATTATGGATAATGTTGCTATAAATGCACTTGAGCAAATGTCCTTGTGATATGAGAGTGCATCCTTTGGTTATATACCTAAGAGTGGTATTGCTGCTTCTTAAGGTAGATTGGTTCCCAATTTTTTTTAAGGAGACGGCCATGTTGACTTCCAAAGGGGCTGTACAAATTTATACTTACACCTGCAATGGAGGAGTGTATCCCTTACTCTGAATCCTCTACAGGATAAGCTATCATTGGTATTTTTGAGCTAGCCATTTTGACTGGTGTGAGAGGATACTTCAGAATTGTTTTAATTTACCTATCCCTGATGACTAAGAATATCAAACAATTCCTTAAATGCCTTTCAGTCATTTGAGATTCTTCTGCTGAGAATTCTCTGTTTAAGTCTGGTCCCAATTTTCTCATTGGATTATTTGGTATTTTGATGTCTAGTTTCATGAGATCTGTTTTGGAGATCAGTACTCTGTCTGATGTGTGGTTGGTGAGGATCTTTTTCCATTCTATTGACTATCATTTAGTCTTAATGACTGTGCCCTGTAACATGAGGGATCTGCTTGTTGGGGTTTCTGTCCTGCCTGGTACCACACAGCCGGCAAGTCCCAAAGGAAGTCACACACAGGTCTACATAGGTTACAAACTGATTGACACATTAGCTCAGGCTTCATATTAGCTCTTATAACTTATATAGCCCATTATTCTAGTATATGTTAGCCACATGGTTTAATACTTTTCTCAGTGGGCAGGTCACATCCTGCTTTTTTGGTGGTCTGGGCAAAAATCAGGGGAATGGGCTTCCTGTTCCATGAAAGAGTCTACTAGACATTCTGCAGGACACAGAAAAAAAAAGTGCCTGAACTGTCTTTGAATTTTTCTGCTTTATGGGAATGTCAGCTGGATACTATGGTCCTGAAGGCCGAAGATGGATGCCCCAATGGTACAGAAGAACTTTGGGTGACTTTAAGGCAACAATATGTCTCTGTCATTTCTAGAGTTTTGGAAGTTGCTTACTTCTCATTTACTTAGATAATATTAATCCTTCTGGAGTCTTTGATGGAGCTGAAGAATGGTTAGTTACAGTTTAAGTTTTCCTTTGTTATGATAAAAGATAAAATAGATATAAATATTGTAACTAATTTTTGCTTTATAACTGTTTTGCTATGTGTAATTTTACTATGTTAAAATTAAAGCCTTTCTTTTTTGTTTAAACAGAAAAATGGGAAATGGTGTAGGAGGGTCTTCTATGTGTTAATTTCATTGGTTAAATAAAGAAGCTGCCTTGGCCTTTTGATAGGTCAGCCCTGAGGTTGGTGGAGTAAACAGAACAGAATTATAGGAGGAAGAAGGCAGGGTGGCAGACGCCATGACTCTCCTCTCCGAGACAGACACTGGTTAGACTTATGCTGGTAAGCCACAGTCAAGTGGCAATACACATTAATGAAGATGGGTTAAACTAATATGTTTTAATATTTATTTATTTATTTATTTATTATGTATACAATATTCTGTCTGTGTGTATGTCTGCAGGCCAGAAGAGGACATCAGACCCCATTACAGATGGTTGTGAGCCACCATGTGGTTGCTGGGAATTGAACTCAGGACCTTTGGAAGAGCAGATAATGCTCTTAACCTCTGAGCCATCTCTCCAGCCGGGTTAAACTATATGAAAGAGTTAGCCAATAAGAGGCTAGAGATAATGGGCCAGGCAGTGTTTTAATTAATACAATTTCAGTGTGGTTATTTTGGGCATAAACTAGCCAGGTGGCAGGATGCAGCCCACTGCACATTATTACAACAGTGTCCTTTGTGTTACAGAAGCTTCTCAGTTTCAGGAAGTACCATTTCTTAATTTCTGCCCTGTGGTACTGGTGTTATATTAAGAAGTGGTCTCCTCTGTGCATGCCTTCAAAGCTACTTCCTATTTTCTATTTTATGTGGTTTAGTCTGCCTGGACTTATGTTAAGGTCTTTGATCCATTTGGACTTGAGTTTTATGCACATGAATAGGTATGGATCTATTTTCATTCTCTACATACTTACATCAAGTTATGCTAGCACAATTTGTTGAGGAATTTTTTTTTCATTGTATAATTTTTGCTAAATTCTCAAGAACCAGGTGTTCATAAATGTTTGGATTATTATCAGGGTCTTCAATTTGATTCCTTTGGTCCATAATTTTTTTTTTGCCTATACCAGGTTGTTTTCATTACTGTAGTTCTATAATAGAGCTTTAATAAGGAATGATGATGCCTATGGAAATTCCTTTATTGTTCAAGAATGTTTTACTGAGTTTTCTAAAGCAATATTTTTTCAGTATGTTACATAGTTTGACTATATGTACTAGCCTCTCCCATTTCTCATTTTCCTGTTATCTCTTCTTCTTTTAGTCCCTCTACTACATTTCTTATTCTGTCTCTAATACATATACATTCACCCATGCCTACAGCTCTCACCAAACATACCCTCGAGCACCTACACCTACATATACACATATATACAGAGATATTCATGCACTCTTACAGAAATATTTAGAATCTTAAAATGAGGAAAACTGTGATATTTGTTGCTTTGATTTTGGGTCCACATCTCCTTGAGAATTTTCTATATCTGTTTTCTGACTGTTTGGACTGATATTCCTCCATCCACAATAATGGTGGATGTAATGTTGTGTCAACAGAATTGCACTTTCACTCATATCAATGAACAGAGTTTAGTGTTTTGTGAGGGAAATATTGTGTGCCCTATCCCAACTATATAATAACTGATTATGTCAATATTTTCATTAGGAAGCACAGTGAACATCAAATTTGGAGATATGGCAGGGAACAAGTGCAACAGACTACATAAAAGTGTTGGATATCTCCCAATTCCTTAAAGCTAAGTGATTCTCTGAGTGATTCTGAGTAGTGATCCCTTGAGTGTAGGATGTAAAGTTTCATGAAATTCAAGAAGGTACTTAAATGAACAGATATGAATCTTACCACAGAAAATCAAAAATCATTAAAAATAAAGTAAAAAGTGATACTGCAAAGGACAATCATTTACTATTGGATTCAACTGAGAGATCTCAAAAAGGTAAAATATTGTGTGAAGGTTTCAAAAATGTATTCATACAAAGATGAGTTACAACAAAATATACAAACAGGAAAAAAACTCATTCAGACAAGGATGTAGAGAGGAAGCCTAGTGACATATAGACAAACAAGATGGAGAAAATAATAAGAAACATAGCAGAATAAATGAACAAGGAAAAATATCACAAT